CGTATTGTTTGAGTGTTTGGATATCTGAATAACAACTACAGCTTATGGTCTCTACAGTCACGTCCTTTTATATCTAACAGTCCAAATATATGCAAAGCCCTATTTATGGCAAAAACCGGAAGCCACGCGGAACCAAACAAAAACAGTGGGCACTCAGCTGGAATGAAACAAGAAATTTTTTCACCATATAAAATCTCTTTTAATTTCAGTCATCATTGCACATTAACTGATAGGCCGCACCAATATCAACGAGGCTTAGATGAGCGCAATTTCTATTGGTATGGATGGTTGAAACTGATATGAGTCGGGGCTTGACTTCCAACGATTTCTAGTGGGGGGGCCTGGAGGGCCTGAGGAACCAGCGGACGGGTTCCAGTTTTGATAGAAGCTAGAATGGACGTCGAAGTTACAGAGAAGCCGCCCATTGATACCAACGATAACACCATGATCGGCACTGAAAATTGGACCTCAAACAGTATCAAGGATCTACTTCATCAGCAGCAGACCCTAGACGAAGTAGAACCAAATTATACATGCTTCCCATTATCCCTGTGGCAAGAGAACTTGCGAAGCCGCTACTGGCAATATACCGTTTTTGTCATCTGAATACGATATCGTATCTTCGTAAAATACAGGATCGTTCCATGTGACCTCGGAGCAAGCCGGGATTGTCAGACGGCGAATGACTCAGCCCGCCCGATTTTCAGATACAGTCAGCTACTGCCCGAAGAAAAATCGGGACCCAAGTTCGAACGCGCTCGGTGTTCGGTTTTCGGCGCCTGTTTTGCTACTGCTAAATATTCTCGGTGAGCCATTGCGTCACTTGAGGCGCTCCATATACGCATTGGTCAAGGGGGTTGTGGACGCCAGCCGAACGCGAAATGCCGTGCACGAATTTGAGCTGGAGGGAATCCCGTTGGCCGAAATGTTCCCGTCATGCCAACCTACAGGAGCATGACTAGATCGACCATTACATCCACTTATACCTCTCTAATGTTCTCACAGTCATTGCCCGGTGGAGTTCAAATACGCTCAGCACAGATTCAAGCAGCCCATTGGAGCATTTCATTAAGTTGAAAGATGGAGACTGGAAACTCTGGTCAACCAGACATATTGAGTTCAATCATTTAGCAGCTTCAAAGACMGAATCGGAAGTTCGTCTGACAGCGAAGTGATCTTCTCCTTCTTCTGGACTGAGATCCCTTTTTTCGACCTTGACTACGTGTGCGAGACGTGGTCCCTTGTCGATGTCTTTGAAGAACTTCTGGAGCGTCTCGTCGTTACCTTGGACCTCTCCTTCAACCTATTGCCATGTCCTTAGCTTCTGCTGATATGTAGGTAAGTAAGGTAGGGGTTGGGGACGAACTCTTCCACAGGTAGTGTTCTTCACCCAGCCTTTCAGCCCGTACTCAACTGCACGCTTCTGAGTGAAGTCACTGGAGCTCAGAATATATTGGTTAGAAATGTGTTTATGCTGAACGACCTTCGTAGCCAGTTCCATGATCTTACCGGAATCCGACACCTGGAAACGTTGGCCGAATTAGTGACCATTCGATGCAATAAATCGTGTACCACGCTGGTAAGACATCAAAGAGCAGCAGTGAAGTACTTGCCTTGTACAGTGCCGTGGACTCTGAATGCAGTCTGATACATTCAGTCAGTCACGTGCTAAGAATTCAGATGACGTATCAAGATAGAGAAAAGACGAATCGCGACTGGGAAGCGAGAAGGGATCCGGGTAGAAGTACTCGCCGCGATGTCATGTTGACAAAGGCTTCGGTTCTTATTCTGTGGTTCAGAGTCGCGCTATTGTGATATCTTTGGAGTGTTTGTCTGATCATACTTCATGCCCAGGTATCTATCGGTCGACGTTCATCCTGGCGAACGAAGTGGGGCTCTAGCTGCGTTTATGCCTCAGGCTGCAAGGCGTCAAAGCTTGCTGGAGACGTCCAATTTTAGCATTCTTGTTCCATTTAAGGCTAGCTCAAGCACTAGTGCACTTTGGGGTCAGGAACTGATACTGGCCAATGATAACCAAGGTGTTCGACAAGTACCTTACTCATCATTAGCGATGGGATCTTCAAGATCGCGGAAAGAAAGCTGAAGATTTGGCTTGCAATTGCAGTGGTGATGTCGAAAAACTTAGCTTTAAGAAGCCTGGTAAAGTTCCAGACCGTAGGTTGCTATGTAGTATACTCCCTGATATAATCATAGTCAACTCGAGCTCGTGATCCTTGACTACTGTACCTAGGAGCCTAGGTAATCTGTGGCCGACTCCGCCCCTGAGTTTGTTTCCCTCTCACCTCTCAAGAGATACCTATCTACGGAGTCCTCCGCACTGCTCTCCGCAACCTATCGTCCTCTTCTCTTCGCACCTTTGTCCATGGCTACGGGCACGCGATGCTTGTGTTAAGATGACTTCAATACTTTCCTGGTTCCGGAGACTCTACTCTCTTGATACCCTCGACACTCGTTTCACCGCATCTGCGACCACCTCGTTAAAGGCCGCTGCTGACACGCGACCCCCATCTGCGAAAGATGCTCGCGCAAATGCCATCGCCCATGGCGCTTCGCCACCCAACTGGCGAACGCCTGAATTTTTTGTTTATTACTTTGTCTTCTTAACCGTGGTACCTATGATGTTCAAGACTGTCATTGATGCTTCGAAAGGTATGGCTTGCGGTTACGAGTCTGCGGGGAGCTTGGAGACCCGTGCTGATCAAATGCTCTAGAGAGTCATCCCGGTTATTCTGCTTATGAACATTTGCTATCGCCAGGCTGGATACCTGGCCGTAAGGTGGTGAGTATTGGCTGCATATCTGTTCTCTTCCATGATGCTGATTGCCACACTGAATAGGACAATTCCGACGCCCAATTCTCAAACTTTCGTGATAACGTTCCTTACCTTCTCATCCTTCTCGTCGCTCATCCATTGCTTCGTCGGGTCTATGAGCGCTACCTACTGCGGTCCGATGGCAACTCTGTCTCTCGAAGTGCCGATGCGGCGGCTGCTGGAAACGCTCGACTGGATCGACGGGTGCGATTCGATTATTACTTTGCTCTCGTGTTCATAACTGCGCTCAATGGTGTCTCGGCTATCAAGATCCTCGTGATCCTGTACTTGAACTACAAGATTGCCAAGTCTTTCCCTAGGAAATATATCCCCGCAGCCACTTGGATATTCAACATCTCCACTTTATTCTCCAACGAGCTTTGTGCTGGGTACCCGCTTGAGCGCATGGCCATTTTCTTCACGGCAGGTGGGGAAGGAGAAGCTCCCTTGGTGCAATGGGCTAGGTACATTGATGGGTTTGGAGGCTTAATGCCCCGATGGGAGATACTCTTCAACCTGACGATCCTGCGGTTGATCAGTTTCAATATGGATTATTACTGGAGCCTGGATTATCCAGCGGCGAGCGCAATTGAAGTATGTTCCGAGACCACGGCTTCTTGCGAATGATAACTGACAGCCATAAGAAGAAACAGCTCGATCCAGCAGCGCTGTCGGAGCGTGATCGTGTGAGCATTCCGCCAGAACCGGCTGCGTTCAATGCTCGCAATTACGTCGCCTATGCCCTTTACTCGCCTTTGTACTTGACCGGTCCAATCCTGACCTTCAATGACTATATCGCTCAGCAGAGATATGCGCCACCGTCCCTCACAAAGACTCGCATTGTTCTATATGGCGTTCGATTCTTCTTGACATTGCTCAGCATGGAATTGATCCTTCATTATATCTACGCCCTGGCTATCTCCCAGGCATCGCCCGACTGGTCCTTGTATTCAGCCGGAGAACTTAGCATGCTTGCCTATTTCAATCTACATATCATTTGGCTCAAACTCCTCATCCCCTGGCGGTTCTTCCGCCTGTGGGCCTTGGTCGACGGCATCGATCCCCCTGAGAATATGGTGCGCTGTGTCTCGAACAACTACTCTCCTTCGGCCTTCTGGCGTGGCTGGCACCGATCCTTTAACCGCTGGATCGTCCGCTATCTCTACGTACCCCTGGGTGGAGGAGCACGCTCCGGAGGTGCGAACAAATCTTCGCGAGGCCTCCTCTCCAAAGCACGTCAGATCTTCAATTTCCTGGTGGTATTCACCTTCGTCGCTCTCTGGCATGACATTAACTTACGTCTCCTCATGTGGGGCTGGCTCATCACCCTCTTTTTCCTCCCCGAGGTCATTGCTACTTTGCTGTTTCCCGCTCACAAATGGCGCTCGCGCCCAACCACATACCGTGTTCTCTGCGGTATCGGTGCTGTTGGCAATATCCTTATGTTGATGATTGCCAATCTTGTTGGATTTGCATTGGGACTGGACGGGCTCAAGGGTCTCTTATCGGGAATTCTGGGATCTTACTCGGGCATTGGCTTCTTTGTTGGCGCTTGTGCTGCACTGTTTGTGGGAGTACAGATCATGTTCGAGATTCGAGAAGAGGAGTTACGCGCTGGTATTAAGATGAAGTGTTGATTCTTGGATATTAAAATTTCTCTGAATTGATGTTATGTACATAGACATTGATCATTAAAAACTGTCTATGCGAGTCATTAAGAACCATGATTGTCCACTCGTAGCGGGTATGACGCCGGGTACGATGGACTAGTGAAAGTCCCTGGCAATGCCAGTCACATTGACCATGGCTGCAGCATGCAGACGAATCTTCCACCAGCTGCGATGGTGGGCTGTCCGATTCGTTTGATTCGTCTAGAATTGGCATTGCGATGAAGCACCGCATCGATCGTAGGAGACACATCAACCTGTATCATCAAAAGACCGTAACGCGTCTAAGCATTTGTGATAGACTGTGGGTGCAGGGATGGATGAATGACGCCTCCGTCATTCCCTACAGCGTTAAACCGTGTCATAAGACTCCTGCGCCTTTCGCACAATGCCTTGCGACCGAGCCTCTTAACAGCTATGAAGCTGGCATTCTAACATCGATTTTGACATCGGTATGTTTTGTCAAGCCTTACCGGCCAAACCGGTCTGCGCCAGACACTTCAAAAGAACGCTCCGCATCGCGAGTCCTCATGAAGCTTGTAACAAGCCAGTCCGCAGGTCCGAACATGACAGTTCTTGCACCGAATCTTGCCCCAGTACCCACACATACAGCAAAAGTGCCGTGGCGCCTTGGCGGTTAGGGGGGGACCAGCACGAGCCGCGTTGTATGTGAGTGGCGGTTCGGCCAGGAGTGCTTGCATGATGCGCTCCGAGGGTGGGGAAGGGATATACGACTTTAAAAGCGGATCTTTGTCGTACTCTGATTTGATCAGTCGATTTTGGTTCTCGGTTTCTGGCTCGGGCTGCTTCTTGTCTTCGTCTGTGTCGGGGGTCGCGTTGGTGCTCGTTTCTGGCGGGATCGTTGAGGCCCTTGACGGTGGTACGGTGGATTGCTTCCTTTTCGATGTGTCTGACTTGGGGGTAGCAGCGGGAGTTAGACTTCGTCGGGAGGGCTTCGTTATCTTGCTGATGGAGGGGCGTTGTATAGTTGACTGGGCGGCCTGGGCCAGGGCCGCCTCTTCGTCATCGAGGTAGTTTCGGAAGGTCTTTTGCGATTGTAGGATACGGCGCACGTTTGAAGTCGTCTTTCCTCGTGTTCCTAACGGTAATAGATACAAGTCAGCCATGGTCGGGTTGCTTTAGATTCTCAGCGCAATGCTCGCAATACCTTTGCCGGCCGCGTCCTTCTGTTTCACCGGAATCGGAATATGTACGTCTCGATGGTTCTCCCGGTCAAGCTCAGCTAAGTGGCGGATAATCGCATTGCTCTGGCGCGACGATAAGTCGGTACGACCCCCATCGCGGATTCCTCTTTTCCTGCCGATGGTAGGTGTGATAGCTGCTTGCGCTGGGTTGAAGCCGCGGTCGGGAACGTAGGTCCATCCGGGCGTGACATGGGCGGATGTGCCTGGGAGGACTTCAATACGATACATGACGGAAATGACAAAAGTGCCTGGTATGGGCCTAATATGCTTTCATCGCGATGGTTGTCTGCTGGTGTAAACGATCCCGTGTGATGCTCTTAAATAATATGCCAAAAGATACCGCGCCATGGATAAGTGTTTGGATTGTTTGCATCATCCAACTACATAGGAATTGAGTCACGTGGTTGTAGTGTATGTCTATGAGCCTTGTCACTTGTGTAGTAGATACTGATTGATCACTGAATTTGGTTTTTTGATCAGAGTGTTATTGAAGTATACATCACAGAGAATCCGTGATATCAAATGACTCCAGATATGTCGTTCTTGTGGAGCCCATATAAACCACACCTAAAGCATGAAACACTTGCTCAAGCTGGTAGAAATCCAACAGAAGATATGATATTCGAGAGTGAGAAGAAAACAGTCATGAGATTAAAGATAATCAGACAAATTGCCTTCATTTCTTTTTTTGCAACTGGTCTATCTTTGTCTCCAGTTCAGTGACGTAAGTCTGCAGTCTTGTTGTCGCTGCTTGAAGAGCCTGGGATTCGATCAGTATGATTCAAAGAGCGGATGAGCAGGGAAGTGAAGCGAGGTATCCATCGAGATTTCCAGTCCGTTGCGTCCATCGCACGCCGTACACACTCGCGATGCTCTGATATAGAACCATAGCAGCACGAGACGGACAGGGACGACGGGGGAGGGGAGAATTTTCAAGGATCCTGTGGTAGACGAGAACAAACAGAGACATACATGGATATCTTCATTCAGCATTTGATTTGAGACTCTGTACTCCCCCAAAATGTAATAGTAGACCAAACCGCCGGCAACAACAGTTCCAGCGAGGAACCCAAACAACCTAGAACGGGCATCAGGAGAACATCCAATGTACTCAACAAAACAATCAAATACAGAAATTTGGAAGCTCTTACCCTCCACGGAATGCACCCACAGGCTTTCTCGCAGGCAATGCTGTACCTGCGTTCCTGAGGGTTCGGGATGTCGAGAAGCCGCAGGTGGATACGAATCCCAACCTGGGCGCCCCAGAACGCCCCAGAGAAATCGCGTTTTTACGTGCAATCATGTTTGATCAGGAGCCTGGAGAGCTATGATTACAGTTAGCGAGAAACATGCTTCTGGGCTCGAGGGTAGAGAAGGAAAATATCATCTTCTCACATTGTAATCAGGAGATGAAGTTGGGCGCTTGAGTGTCACGAGCGCGTGGCGTCAGTGTTGCCTGTTTTGGCCCTGCGATATGCGGTTGCATCCGGCAACTCTTGTCTGCCCTACTTTCGGTTTCCAACTGCTGCAGGCGCAAACACATCATTGCTAAGCGTATAGAGCAAGTAAAATTATTTTGCCGTGGTGCTTGTGAGTTTATTTATTGTATATTTTGTCAGCACTGAACAACTGCCCATATTCATTATATGTAATATGCAGCAGCTTCCACGCGACGACTAATGTTAGGCACGGCACCCTGCTACACCATACGTTCCAGTCTTATCTATTCAAAGGGCGACAGGTCATTACATCAGTGCTGTTTGGTATCGTACAGACAGATATCAGCTAAAAGACACAAGAATAACAAAGCAGATGCATCAATTGGCCATGGTGCTCTCGTTAAACAGATCCGCCAATAAGTCGTCCTGGCAACTCTTGAAGTCCGGATTACCCATACCATACGTACTTTCGAAAGCATGAATACTTAGTCGGCCGAGAAATGGTCGAAGTACCTGTTCAATAAGCTCGTCCTTTGCCGTCTCACGGATCCAATCCGATGTCAGCTCAGGCCGCTTCACTCCATCGCCAGACTCGGTAGCTTCGCGCGGTGAACGTGGTGGCGCCGACCCGCGTACACCCAAGATCTGCGAGATTTCGTCTGCAAGTGCCCTTGATTCTAAATGCCCAGGGGGGTAAACAGCATCGATAGTGTCGGTGACATAGAGCCACTCGAGAAGCTGAAAATCATCGGGCGCCAGAACAAGTAGTGTATCCAGAAGCTTACACGCTTGCAACAGCGAGTATGCATTGTAAACTTCTTGTTGCGCTCCTAGCGGTATGCTAGAAATAGCTTCCCGAAGCTCTGTATTGATCAATGGCCAGAATGGCGCAAGTGTGCTAGTTGAACTCTTGAGCGCAAGAGCCMGAAGTACCATGAATATCTCTGCTCTTGTGGTGGAGGACGGAGACGATGAGCTCGTGGCTGCAAGGAGATCTTCCAGCTTCTGAAGTAGCTCTGGTAGTTCTCCAATGAAGTAATCCTCATTTGCAGATAATATCAGCAGTGATATCCTCCGCAGATTCAACTGAGCCTTCCGGTCAGCTTCCAGGCGAGCAGCAGACGCACCAACACCGAACATGAGTCCTGCCGTGCTCGGCGGTGGAAGACGAGACATCAACTCTGTTAGGCGGTCTTTGTCCGCAATCGCCCATTGCCTGAGAAGCTTCATCCAACCGCTTCTCACAAGATCAATCTGGAAGCCAAAAAATCGTGGATCGTTGAAGGCATCGGTTATATCCTTCTTCCAGATTTTTGCAGCAGCTGGAACCTTCGCAATGTGTTGCAGGAGAGACATCACACTGCCGTTCATATTATTAGGGAAAAGCCGCGACCGCAGAAGAGGCCCGATCACATGAGAGGATATGCCTGATACAGCGGAGACGATGCGATCAGAATCACCTAACAAAGCTATAAAAGATGGCATCGAGAGTGCAAGAATACTGAGCATATCGTCAGGGCCGGCGTGCGGTACAGCCATGTTGTCATAATCCACGGACGGCCTCCCCAACATACTCGAATCCTGAGATAGTCCCAAAGGCTTGCTTGTGAAGATGGCGGTGAGCAGACGAAGCAATACATCCTGCATGAAGTTAATAACTGCACTGCCTGGTCATGCTGCGGTAAGACATACCCCTAGCTCCTTCCTCATTCGTCGATCCTCGCCGAAGGTCGTATTCTCCATTTTGGCTCCAAGGATGGCCGCGAATTCCACTAGCCGGGGAAGAATCTGTCTGTGGGGGAAGGGGTTGCTCAAGACGTCACGTAAAAAGGTTGTACAGTCCGTCCAGATTTCGTCAAGTACATCGTCGTCCAGAGACCTGGCATAAGTAACCAGAAAACCTGCCAGCTCCGATTCAGTGAGGCTTGACGTCAAGGCAGATTTGCGGTGGGGATCAAGCGCAGCAGGGTTGGTTCGTGTATATATGGCATTGAAGATTGCTGGAATGGTGATCTTTGGGCGAGACCCGTCCAGAGTGTGAAGCAAACTAAAAATCAGAGGTGATGTGTCAGGGTCTGCTCTTGACCACATCTCTACCATTGTCTCCAGACATTCAAGAGCCTCCGCAGTGAAAAGATGCTCAAGGATGCGACGAGACCTGTTTCTCATCCGCAGAGAGGTGTATTGGAAGGACGCGAGAGACTCGGGATCTTGTGGTAGGCCGTTTCGCTCCACGGCACCCCAGGACCATATGGAAAAGCACAGTCGAACGGCATCCTGGAAGCACAACAATACAGTCAGTCTGTTGTTCGCTGCGGTCGAGCGCCCCTGGTTTGAATCTGTCGCAAATACTCCTGACACCATGTTGCCAAAGAACCCGTGGGCGTGGTCAGGGCTTTTGGCAGCTGGTACGTTCGCTTCCTCCACGAGGAGGCGTTCGTGAGCTGCCGCGATGCACGTCTCAAGTCCAGTAAGCAGGCTAATGGTGACATGTTCAGAGCGATCTTCTGGCCAACCGTTGGTTTGTCTAAAAGAGAGCTGAAGATTCGTATATGATAATTGAATCTCCTTACAGAAACATTCCACTAACATGAGCAGGATCTGGAAGAGGGATCCTGAATATAGAGGAAGCACTTCACAAAGTAGTAGAGTCCACTTCTCCACGATGTCTCTCGAACATTTAGAACTAATGCCTTTGAGAAGACACTCTAGGAGGCGGGAGGGAGGTTGAGGTGGAGCAGGCAGCGAAGGACCTCTATCAGCCTTATCACTCGTAAAGGAAAGAAGCGACGGACTTGTGAGGCGCTCCCGTGACTGTGCTCGCTGATGCTTTGGCCTGGGAGGGGGCGGTGGTAGGTATGCTTGCGCGAATCGGACTTTCAACGCTGAGAGTAGGGTGTCTATTATAGCCCCTTGCAATTCGACGCTACCTCCCTCGTCGAGGACAGAAGACAATTGATCAACCAAGAAGGAGTCAATTCCCGACTCAGCAATCTCTTCGGCCCCCGGTCCTTGAAGAAGTTGTCTTACAACCAGCAGGGACGTCTGTTGGAGTTTCACCTCTTCATAATCGGCCTGTGCTGCTGCGTTCCGCCTTCTCCCTATGATTACCTTTGAGGATAGCTGGAAAATGATAGAATGGAGAGATTGAAACTCAGCACCGTCTAAGTCCGTTAACGGTAAGTCAAGTACTCAAAACTAGGTTTTCAGAGCTTACCTTCAGAAGCACGATCCTTCTGTTTATCCACTGGATTCAACGTCTGAGTAAGAAGAGACATCCATCCATTGGAGGACAGCGAGCAGAGGATATTGTAGATTGTTCGCAAAAGGTAGTCACACTCTTTATAGTCATCAGGAGAAATAACGGCGTTGTCGATCCCATTTTCTGACTGTGTTTCTCGCAGGAGAAGATTCTCAAGTCGCAAGATCACGATGCGAAATACCCTAAGAGATATAAGAAAGTGTACAAACCTCATCTTCAGCGTCTGACTCACTTTTGAATGGATGATAAATCTTGAAGCCATCGCTGAACTACCTGTGAAGCCTCATTTGGGCCCTGAGTCAAAAGATCCAAAACGAGGAAAAGAGGGCGCTCAAGCATTGACGAATAGTAAGGCGTTTGGGCCTTTCTCGCATCGTACGCTTGTTTTGGGAAAAGTTCGTAGGAGCCATGGTGGCTATGATTCCAGAGAACAAAATATTTTCCAGCCTGCTCTTCAGATGACAGATGCTGAGAGCCTGGCGCTGAACCAACCATAAGAGATGTTATGGACGCTTCGACAATATGAT